CGCCTGGTCCAGCCTCCGTGTCTGCATCCTCGTCTGGTCCAGCCTTCGTGTCTGCATCCTCGTCTGGTCCAGCCTTCGTGTCTGCATCATCATCTCCGCCTGCTGCGGTCCCGGCTTCCGTGCCCTCAGCCTCGCCTGGCCCAGCCTCGTTTGGGTCTGGAGCTAAACGGCCGTTTTCTGGACCGCTGGCTAGGCTACTGGCCGAGTGCCGTCGCCTGACTGGCCGCCGCTGCCTTCCGCACGGCCGGCCCCCGGACCGCCATCGCCTGTGTGGCCGCCGCTGCCTTCCGCACGGCCGGCCTCCTGAACTCTTTACGCGCCGCCGCTGCCTTCCGCACGGCCGGCCTCCTGAACTCTTTACGCGCCGCCGCTGCCTTCTTCGTGGACGGCCTCCTGAACTGTGCTTTGGACTCTTCTCCCCTGTGGGTTTTGTGTTCATCTTTGTTTTGGGACTCTGGGGCCTCCGTCCGTGGTCGTGGTCCGGTCCCTCCGTCCTGGGCCCCCTGCCGCCCGCCCGGATCTGGTGGTGTGTTTCTGTGGCTGTCGGGGGCCAGCCCTTGAGGGGGGGGTACTGTCATGGTCCTGCGACCATGACTCAGTGACTTTATGTTTATGTACTTATTGTTATTACTTTCATTATTATTCATGGCTGTTTTGGGATGGTTTGTGTTTGGGATTTTAGACACTGGGTTCTGGGTTTGTGCTCTCTCTGTTGGTCCCTGGTGTTAGTGTTCCCCTGTCTCGTCAGGTTAATCAGGTCCAGCTGTTTCCCCCATCTGTGTGTGATTTCCCAGTGTCTCTTTGTGTATTTATAGCGTGTGATTTCCTCTGCTCCTCGTCGCGTCGTCTGTGTTCCTACCTGTGTTCATCCTCTGTGTTACCCTGCGTACTCTGCATCTACCCTGTGAAATCCTCTGCGTGCTCTCCCTGCTGTTCTCCCTTCGTGTTCAGGTTTGCCACTCCTTTGTGTAGTTTCACCCAGTTTAGTTCATCCGTAGTTCTGTTTTGCCATCTCCTCTTTATGTTTGTTATTATCAATAAATCACCCTCGCACCTGAATGAGTGCTGCGCTTTGAGTCCTCCTTCCACTCTCCACACGGCCGCTGCCCCGGACCGTGACAGTGTTATGATATTTGTATATGCTAAGTGTGAGTGAAAAAAATCAGCTGTGTTTTTATTCAAGGATGAAACAATTTTGACATTTAAAGACGTTGGGGAATAATTAGTGAAATGTGAAAATTACTTCATCTGTGCTACACCTAAATGTATACAGATGTACAGCATATGAAAAAGAAACCTTTCCCTGTATCAGCTAATCTGTTTCTAACAGGGTTCTGATGCGCTCGTCTTTACAGTGTCGTTTCAGAGGTTTGCAGGCAGCACATCACAGGGTTGTGGTCTGCTCTTTGAATGGACCATTGCAACCATTTAATCAACATTATTGTCCCGTGGCTAGACAATGATTGTTGATTAATTTTAACCAAGGTTTAGCTCTCAGACAGATGAGACCATCTGACATCTGCCTAACTCGAGAACACTTTGGTATCTGCAAGGTGTCCTTGAGTCCTGCGGCATTAAAATGGGCCCAAATAATCATCCCTCCACCAACGTGCTTGACAGTTTGGACAGTTTGTGGTTGTGCTGTTATTCTGTGTTTGGTTTTGTCAAACCTGTTTGTTAGAGCCAGACATCTCCACTTTGGTCTCATCTGTCCAAAGGTTCAAGGTTCAAGGTTCTTTATTTGTCACATGCAAAGGAGGTCCATTAGATGTTGGATGGCTGGAAACTTTCTTCAACTAAATGAGGAGAAGACTGAAGTTCTTGTTTGTGCTCCTAAAACTTTTGTACCTAGTGTTATGGAAAACTTGGGTCCACTTGCTACATTTGCAAAACCGTCTATCAGGAGCCTTGGTGTTAGTATTGACTCAGCTCTGACTTCGGATGCCCATGTAAAATCTTTGGTTCGCTCCTGTTTTTATCATTTGAGAAACATTGCTAAGCTGAGTCCCATTGTATCGCGCTCCGAATTAGAAATTGTCATTCATGCATTTGTTTCATCTCGTCTGGACTACTGTAATTCTTTGTTTACTTGTTTATGTAAAGCCTCTTTGGATCGTCTGCAAGTTGTTCAGAATGCTGCTGCAAAGCTTCTGACCAAGTCCTCCAAGTTTTCCCATGTCACACCCCTGCTGATTCAGCTGCACTGGCTCCCCGTTAAATTCAGGATCCAGTTTAAGGTTTTGACCTTGACTTTCAGGGCCCTGCATGGACAAGCACCAACATATATAAGTGAACTTTTGCATCCATACATTCCCAGCAGGTCCCTGAGGTCATGTGACCAGGGCTTGCTTGCTGTCCAGCACACGAGGCTGAAAACAAAAGGCGACAAAGCTTTTGGAACTGTGGCCCCCAGATTGTGGAACTCTCTCCCTTTGAGCCTGAGATCTGTGGACTCAGTGGTCACTTTTAAAAAAACAGCTAAAAACCCATCTTTTTAAACTTGCTTTTAGTTGATTTTTATTTTTAGGTTTTAGCTTCTGTGAAGCACTTTGTGATTTTTATCTTGAAAGGTGCTATATAAATAATATTTTTACTTGTTCAAGAAATCTTGTGGTTTGTTTAGGTGCAACTTTGCAAACTTAATGAACTTTACATTACAGCCCTCAGTTAGCATGTTTAGAGTCTGAGATGTTGCACTTGGGTGTTTTGCAATTTCTCTGAGCATTGTGTGGTCTCATCTTGGGCTGAATTTGCTGGAATGTTCATTCCTGTGAAGACTGTAGCATTGTGTTAACACACAACTGATTATGCAAACTGCCAAAACCTCTGCTTCTATGGAGGCGGTCCTACTTGATGATCAGCTGATTTGATTAAAGGCACCCGACTGCTACTTACCCAATTAATACCTATGGAAGTAGCAAAGGTGTACTTAGCTTTTTTTTTCTTTTTCATATGGCTATAGGCACAGTTTAAAGTGGGTGCCAGGTGGGGGAACCCCAAAATCAGGTGAAAAGAATCACTTATAAATAAGTCACACAATAATTTATTTTGTGAGGCTATGATTAGCTAACATGTGCTGCTACTCTGTTATTCACTGGTATTTGTGGGATCAGCCAGAATTCAGCAAGATATAAGCAGATGTTTCATGGGCTGTATAGCTGATTTACAACCCTTAGACACTATGGCGTTAGTATAAAAGCTGTAGGTGCATGAAACTCATCAGCATCATCACCTTAAATATAAATTGGTGTCTGCTACCCTTGATGTAACCTAACACTGACCATAAACATGTCTGCTATGGAGTCCAGTATATAGTGAATCACTGGGAACTTGACTGCAACATTGCAAACTAGCCAGTTAAATTGCACTTTACTGTCCCAAACTGCTTACTATGCCCACAGTACTTTCCTCCTGTTTGATTAACAGAAAAATTGTGTGAAATGATTTAGGACACAATTCCTAAATTTCTAGTTTAGCAAATAATAATAATAATAATGGATACTTTATTGATCCCCATGGGGAAATTACTTGTTTTTCTCTGCATTTGACCCATTCACTCAGTGAAGCAGTGGGCAGCCCACTAAGCAGGCGCCCGGGGAGCAGTGTGTAGGGACGGTACCTTGCTCAGGGGTACCTCAGGGTAGCCGTTAAGTGGATTCGAACCGCCGACCTTCCGATCATGGGGCGACCACTTTACCTACTGAGCTATCCCTGCTCAGGATAATGTCACTTGCTGAGCAGTCAGTGTTATTAAAAATAATCTCTAATCTCCCGCTACTATCCCAATCTTACACCTTTCTCCATCTCTCAGAGTCCATCTCACTCTCCCTGAGAAATACGGTGCATTTAGCTAACTAGCAGACACTTTTTGTGACAAACTGTGCAGAAAGAATTGTCTGTTTGGTGATATTTGTTGAGCTGCTTGAAAAAAATGAAATTACCTCCCACTCAAAAAAAAAAGGTGCCCTGTTTATGCTTGCTCATCTTCTGCAGGGCTAGTTACTTGCATTATGTCTGCGCCTTGAATGCATCGCAGGAACGAGGAGAAAAAAAAACATGGCTTGAGGGTGTATATACATTAACAATATCATGCATTAACCTTTCTATCTGATTTAGCTGAAGGTGCAGGAAAGCTGTTACAGACAGCCCACTTCAAATCCCAGACTGTAGTGGTCATCACCACACATTCTTTACAATGTATTGAGGAGAATATGAAGCAGGTATGTAAAATTAAGAATGAAATATGTTGTTGGATTCCCAGGTTTTAAAGTTTGAACCAAAACATTGTGAAAATTGTTTAAATCTCAGATTGGATTCCTCCATCCTATATTGCCCTCTTGTGGATCTCACCATTTCACTTATCTCTCCATACAATTTTCCCCTTGTGATTCATGTTACTGATAAACAGTAGGGTGTGTACTACACATTTTTTCTTGAATAGCCAAGAAGGAAGTTGCAAACATTAGTGTCATTAGAGCTTCTCCATGTGCTTCCAGACAAAGAGATAGTGTATGCAGCCTTTGAGATATAGTGCTTGTAAACTTTCACCTGCTAACACTTTACCAGGTGACAAAATATTTTAAAATTCAGATGGAGGAATCTACTTATGGGATGCACATGACCAAATTGAGCAAATATCAGCAGGTGCTACCAAAGAGACATTAATTGTTTTTAATTTTTAGTTTAATTTTACATGTCATTTCACAAGTTAGACTTTTGTCAGTTACGCTTCACTGTGGTGTGACATCATAATTGACATATCTGCATATTATTTTTATACTTCAAAATATAGGATAAAAAAAGTAATAATGGAAAATATATTTGATTTATGTTGATGATTTTATACGTTATAAAAGTACATTAATAATGTGCTTCCTTTTCAAAATAATGAAAAAAAAATTAAAAAGTGTTTTCCTGTTGTTATAATGTTTATACAGAAATGCTATTTACAATATTATATATATATTTCAAAGTGTATTTTTTTTAAAGTAATATTGAGTTGAACCTGTTAAAAACAATAAATAACATTCAGCACAGAGCAGTCCTTCTTCTGCATCTATTTCAAATCAGGTGGGAAACCTTAAAACCCAGGATCTAAATTCCATGGTTGAATTATGGTTTTTCACATATGAACAAATGTTCTTTCTTAGCTGAACTGAATGCAGTATTTTAAACACTCGTTCTGGTGAGGAACACCTCCTTCAGACTGTTTAAGGCCTGTTCCTGAGTGATTTTCCTCCATTCCTCAGGAATCTTTGTCGGCTCTCGTTTAAACTCCTGTGCAAACCTCTCATTGAACTTCACCAGCACATACCTGTAACAAAGAATTTGTTCATTTAATAAATTAAATTTAATCTAATACTGTCATTTCTACAATAAAGAGTGTTTAAGTCACACAGTACCTCCAGTAATCACTGGCCTTTGAGCTATTTGTGTTGTCAGGAGAGAAGCTCCAGTCTGGGTAAAGTGAATGGAGAACACTGCTTGTTGTGGATGTATCATGTGTGTCCTTGTCCTCGCTCATGCTTTCAGGGCAACTGATGCAGGATACAGAACTAGAGGCATAAGGCTGCATGCCTTTAGGTCGATGGAGCAAGGCATTGTGACCCTCATGCCCCATATCCTCCTCCTCACACGGGGCTCTGCAGAGAGGACATTGCTTGTCACAGCCTTTCACTTTTTTGAAGAGGTAGTCTTGGGGCTGAACTGGAAGACAGTTAAGAAATTGGGTAGTATCCACATTTTTGGAGAACTCTTGATCAAGGTCCATCTGCATTGCAGCCACTGACTCCAGTAAACATTTAGCAAAACGGTTCCATTCTACAGTGATGCTAAACAGGGGTCCAGTCAGACAGGTCCTGATCACATTAACATCCCCTTTCTCTAAAGTGAGACACACTCTCTCCAGCAGTGGCTTTGTATCATTCAGGACTCCACTGATACCTTCTGTGGATTCGTTCACTGCTTCTTCAATTTTTCCTACAATCTCACAGAGTCTCTGATGCCTCCATTGTCCCAGGTTGGTTGATTCAGTGAGGTGAGCTGTCACTGTTTCCTGGATCTTCCTGAGTCTGAAGTTGTCATAGAAGAGCAGATATTCCAGGAAGACTTCAAATTGATCTTCTTTAATCATCTCTTCCAGCAAGCTTTGGTGGAAGGCCTGTGAGGAGTGATACTGCTGAGCTTTCCTTTGGATCTCCTCTGCAATAGATATCCCCAGGGGTCTGTTGATGTAATCCAAGACTGTGGGCTTGATGACCATGGAGATGAATGCTTGGGCCATCCTTTGACACTGGTCTCTTTTCCTGAAGTCATAGATAAACTCGGCCAAGTCCATACCTTTTCTTTTAGTGATACATGTCAAAAGTTCTGCGTCTTTGGCATAGCGGTTATGCAGGTTTTGAAAGTCTTGGCAAGAAGCATTACAGAGATATACTTTTAGATCCACTTCAAAAGCTGATCTAGTTTCCACAGATTTTTCATTTAAAGATTTTTCAACATTTTGTAACAGCTCTGTAATGTAACCGTCAGAGAAATCTGCTGGTTTGTTACACTTATCTGCTATATACTGTTTGCATTCCTCTATGATATTGTTTGCTACCTGCTGAGCTTCTACCTTGTGTTGTTTGTTGTTGTCTTCAAACATTTGCTTTAATCTGCTGCGGTATCCAAAATGCTCATCGCAAACTTGGAAGTCAGAGTTCTGGTTCTGGCCAATCATTTCAAGCTTTTTCATGTGTTTCTGGAGGCCACGGCTGATTAGATTCTGTCTCAGAATATCTTCTACTCTTGGAGTTATATCTTCTGTTTCTGAAGGCCTGAATTCAAAGTTGGACAATATCTTATCCCACACAGCCTCAAATTCATCCTCTATCTCTGCATCTTGCAGAAGAATTTTTGTTGTCTTGCTTTTTTCTACTAGTGCATCTACCTTGGATTCTTGCTCTTCTCCCAGTAATGCTTTAAATTTTTTAAGCTGTGTGGAAGAGTAATGGCTCTCATAGACTGCCTCCAACCTTTCTGTTATCTCTTCAGTTACTCTGTCCTGTAGGTTGTCAATATTGCTCATTAGGATTGGCATGAATTTGTCAGATCTCATTTTGAGAGTTTCCTCTTTCATCACATATGTCTCTGCTATTGACCTGAGTTTGTTCACCTCTGCTTTGACTTCCTCACTGGCTTCCTTCTTTAACTCACTGAGAAGGTCATTTTGAATAGATGCATCCAAAGCTTCTCCCTTTGTGGTAAAGTTTTTTTTTGTTGCACCCGTTAGCCAACTTTTCATGTTGTCCAGTAAATTGTTTTCCCAGTAGAAAAATTCTGTGCACAACAAAGAAAATGCCAAAGCTATATCAGTGTTTTGGAGACCAATGGAGAATGATTCCTCTTTGATCGCATCCCAAACAGAACACAAACGCCTCATAAATTCAGGCAAAACTGGGGCTTCTGCCTTAGCGGCACTCCTCTTCAATGCTTCAAAAAGGATTTCTTTAAACTTTAAAACATCCCCACTATAATCTGTATCAACTGGTTCAGAGAGGGACATTTTGTTCCATGGTCCTTTGACAGAGACTGTGCAGCTTGTGGTCTTTCCATCTTTATCAATATTGCTAGTTTGCAAAAGCACCTGAGAAACGTACCTTAATTGTGACGCTTGTAATTTGCTATTTACGTTTTCGTTCTGGACAAAGAATTGGCAAAATGGCATGGAGCCATATTCTTTGATTCGCAGGAGAGCATTGACTCTGACACTGAGGTTTGTTTCAAAATCAGAACCAGGGTGTGAAGACATGCTGTGCATTAAAAAGTCACTCAGTCCTGTTGCAAAGGTAGCCATTTCATTGTCATTGCCCAGTATATTTCTTTTGCTGTCCAGTGAGACTGAGCAGAGACCTCTGACCTCAATTAGCAACAAAACATCACACTTCATGTCCTTTCTGAGGTTTTCAGGAAGACACAGGGCAGCCATGTACACCCCTCTTGAAGTTTGTTTCTTCCATTCAGGGAATTTCACTCCAAATAATGCAGAAAGAATCTCTGCATTCCTTGCATTATAGTCGCCAAGATTTGTCAGCACTCTTGTCCTACACTGTTCTTGTGGTAGGCGACGTTTGAGCTCTCCAAAGACACAGCCCAGCCACTGGATGGGGATATTTGAGGCATCTCCATCCATTAGTTCAAGTGGAATCCCATAAAGAAGAAGATCTGTAGCTAAGCTAGGGAGACGTAACACATTTTGGCTTCCGCTGCTGGGGCTGATGTATGCTAGCTCAAAGATTAGCCCTATCTCACGCAGAAAGTGCTCAGGACCTAATGCGCATGTATCAGGTTCATAAGAGGGATCAGCACAATCATCAAGGCTCATTTGTTGCGTGCCAGAAGTTGAATTGTCCGTAGTGAGTGTTAGCTCTGATTCATTTGGTTTTTTCTCTTTGAAGCGCAACGTGCTATTTTCTCCTGACTCTAAAAGACAGCTTTGGTCTTCAGAGGCCGAATTTAATTCATTTTCTTTTTCATTTAAAGTGATGGATATCTCCTGCGCCATGTTTGCGTCATGTTGATGGTCTGTCTGTTGTGACAGTGGTTCTGTGGTCTTTTCTTTGGATTCTGAGACCTTCAGTTGATGGCTTCCTTCAGACTGTTGCTCAGAAAGTTGCAAATTTAGACCTGCAGATTGTATTTCTGTTCCCTCTTGAAATATTGAACCAGTGTCTCCAGGGGTGTCTTTGACTCTTTGTTCAAGCTTATCCAAATCTACCAGCATGCTTTCTTTCTTTACTGTCTGTAGATTTGTGAGCAGATCTTTCGTCTTGTTTTGTTTTGTAGTTTTCTTAAGTCTTAGAGTGAGCCAGCTAAGAAAGTAAGCTCTCTTCACTTTATCTTTGGTAAAGAGAGCATCTGTAAAGATCTTCATAGCTGGGGTCATTTTGTAGCTCCTCAACTCAGCCATAATGTCATTCTTTTCTTTTTGTAGCTGGGGGTCAATTTCTGTTCTTTCTTTTCTCTGCTTACTCTCTGCTTTTTCTAGCTCTGCTAATTTGCTCCACAAAGGCCCCTGCAGAGGAAGCTGTTTACGCCTATATTCATCAGACCCCTCATCTAAACCCTTCAACACTTCCTCCACTGAGGCCATGGCTTTTTGACAAATGGGTCCTTCGTCCACATTTAGGCCTATATCCGCCGCAAATTGTGCTGCTTCCTCAAGCGTAATAAGTTTCAGTCTGTCTGGTAGCAGATGTTTTAGAGTATCACATAGCTTACTAGCCAGTGCATCCTCACTCAGACCTCTGCCCTGAATCACAGATTCTTCGGGAAGCCCCATGTACTTTTCAAGGTTCTCATCAACAAAACCAACAACTCTGCTCCCATTTCTCTCAGTGTCTAAAAGGTCAATGAGTATTAGTTTGCTGTTGGTATCCTTACAGGAAGCAAGAAGTAGTTTTTCCTTCTCCTTAAGATTTCCACAGAAAACAACTATAGCTGAAGATGCCTTGCATAAAAAGGTAAGGCATTTCTCATGCGCACTGGCATCACCCCGCAGGTTGGAGAAGACCAAAGGGACTGGGAAGACATCTTTGGTGCTATCTCCAGTGGGTAGATGCCATCCAATTTCTACCAGGCCACCCGAAAGCCTTTTGGGCAGCTGCCCTCCTTCCATCCCCCTGTGGAGAAATGTCTGACAGGAAGATGTGACTCCACGTAACATATGGTTTAGCACCTGTGACTTGGACACACTGCAACAACCAAGCCTGACAAATGAAACTAATGGCATGCATGTGGTTGCCAAATCCCCCTCTTGGATTCGCCTGTATTTATTTAGGGGGTGAGATCTCCACTGGCCCACAATCCCTCTTAAAGGCCAAAGAAGGAAGCAACTAGGCTCTTCCGGATCTTTGTTTGGAAGGACCAGTGGTATAGAAAATTGGCACTGCATCATCCGTTTGGAGATCTCTTGCTGAAGGAAAGTACTAGCAGACATATAGACAGCTGTGATTAGATCAAGCGGGTTGATGGCACCCTGGCTATCTCCTTTAAAACTACTGAGCACCTTCCCGGTAGAATTGTTGTCATCGTTTGTAACAAGATTATGAAGAGACTCACACCAAGGAGTCCGGGCATCTTTCCTGAGCAGCCAAAGGGACTGGAGGAAAGCTTTTGGTAGATCAGAGGGTTCTAGAGGAGATTGGTTCCCCAGAGTCCAAGTAATAATGTCTAGCATTGATGAGACATCCAGTGGTATAGCCTGGTAGGCCTCCAAGCTGAGCTCATGCAGAACCTCTGCCTGGAGATTATCCTTTGGAGATTCTAGTTTAAAAAAAACAACCCAAAAACACAGCTTTATCCATTTAAGTGTGACACAGACTTTGATAAAATAAGTAAGACAGAAAATAGCTACAAAAAACTAGTCCAATTACACAAAAATTTCAAGTACTGTGCAAATGCTCTTCTTTTTTGCTTTTATTTCTATTTAATTTTAAGTTCTTTACATTTATTTTTATTGTTTTCTTTTCTTTTAACAGGAAAAGAACATTATCCTTCAATCTCACTTTTCATTTCATTTGAGCTTGAAAACAGAAAAACAGTGTTATCCGTAAACTGGGCATCCCTTGGTGCAATTAACATCAGAATTTACACTTGCAAACAAAAAGCCAATTATCATTATTAACTAAACATATTGGAAAAAAAATGCTGTGCTTTTTATAATAGCACATTAACTCCTACCCAGTAAATTTGAGCTCATATTGTTTGCAAAGTCTGAACAATAGGAGCCTTCCTGCAACAGTCAGAACTCACGTTAATGTAAGACAGCTTTTAATCATACCTCTGAAGATAAAACTTGACAGATTCTTTTTCAAATTATTATGTTTGTTATGAGCACCATTTAACTTTGGCAACTGAGAAAAAATGAGGGTTCAATAACAGTTTTTTATTATTATTATTATTATTATTATTATTTTTTTTCGCATTTATATAGCGCTTTTCGAGACCCTCAAAGCGCTTTACAATTCCACTATTCATTCACTCTCACATTCACACACTGGTGGAGGCAGCTACAGTTGTAGCCACAGCTGCCCTGGGGCAGACTGACAGAAGCGAGGCTGCCATATCGCGCCATCGGCCCCTCTGGCCAACACCAGTAGGCGGTAGGTGAAGTGTCTTGCCCAAGGACACAACGACCGAAACTGTCCAAGCTAGGGCTCGAACCAGCAACCTTCCGATTACAGGACGAACTGCCAACTCTTGAGCCATGAGTTTTTTGCAACAGTATCTCCAAAATCATTGTAGCCCCATACTATTTTAGGTCACCAAATGTGGTTACCAAAGGTTATCAGACTGTACTAATACTTTTATGTCTGTTTGTGGGACTCATAATAATTGTAATAAGAGGTATGCATTCTTATTAATTTAAATTTTACTCAAGAGGGCTCTGGTTATTTACATCAAAACACAAGATTATGCACAGTATTGGGCAAAAGTCTTGTGTCATCCTTCGTTTCTTTACATTTTCTTCCAAG